GAGACAAACTTCAAATTGATTTGGAAATTTACAATGTAAATGAATAATTTCCCTAAACTAAGTATTTTTAATAAGTTAACATCTAGTGGTCAAACAAAATCGTTACGCACGACGGTGGTCTTGTATATTGCGTCCAATGCACTTGTTGCTAGTCAGCCTGGAGTGTGTTCTGCAGCATAATGTGTGATGAACTACCTGGATTCCAAGAAGCCCCACGGCGGGTGGTTAAGGATGTTAAAATTTTTTTTAATGAACTTGCTTTAATTGTTTAATTTTATTTTTATAAAAAGCAAATCAAAATATATGATCGTAACTTATATTAAGTAATCTGATTATTTAGATTTTGTGCGGTGGGTCATACACATTCTGTAGTGAAGTGTTAAGTAGTTATAGTGTAAGCCAAACTTAGAAATTCTTTAATAGATATGATACCTAAATTTATAAATAAGTAGTTAAATTCTCTCCATGCATCTAGAATATTATCTCATCTATTATTGTCTCTAGAATGCTAGAAAGATTTATTTGATTTCTGGTATACACGTAAATATTAATTTTCAAATAATTGATCAAAAGGTGACAAATATACATTCTAATTATCTTATTTTTTATTGATGTTTGGCATTTATACAATGTATTGAATTTAATCTTCCAAAGGACACGTGCATGAAGGATTTCGCACGTGAAACTAACCATGCCAATATTATTCCAAGAAGAGGTTGCCTTGAGATCGAGGAAGCATTTTGGAATCTTGCTAATCAACTAATAAGGATAACCAGCAGAACGGATTAAAAGCATAAGATGCCTTGTGTTTTTTTTTTTTTAAATTACACAAAACTTATGATACCAATATTACATAAAATTTTGGGATAATTACTAAAAAGGAATTTTAAATAAAAATATTTACTAAAAAGGCGAAAAGAAAAAATAATTCCAAAAAAATCTATTTCTTAAAAAATCCATATCCATATCCATACCTTAAATATTTTCTTACTAACATAGAATTTCTTGCTTATTTTTTACTTTTGACCTTAAAGGTAAATATTTTTATTTAATTTTCCTTTTTTGTAATTATCCCTAAATTTTTTTTGTATTTTGAGATTCTCTAAATAATGGTCATATTCTTTTTCATAACTAATGGTGTTAAATTGTTATAACCGGATCAATGACTTAATTAAAAATATAAAAGATAGAAAAAATTAATATATAAAAACAAGATTTTGGAGATTAAAATAAATAAAATGTATTAAATTTTATTCAAATTTCTTTTATCTTTTTAATTTTTTAAAAAATATTATAGATTTTTTAACTTGATTTTGGTTATTTTATTAAAACAAATAATTATTATCAAAAATATTATAGAAAAATTCTTAAAAAGAATAAAATACACTTAACAAAAAGAAAGAAAGAAAAAAGATAAAATAATAAAATACATTCAACTCCCGACATTAAATAATTGGTTTATTACAAAAAAGTGACTTATGTGATGAAAAATAATATTTTTAAAGAAATAATTATTTTTTACTTGTAACTAAATTATAAAAAAATAAAATTCACGAATATTTTTATCTAAAACAAGTGGAGAAATATTGAGATAAAATATATTTATTTTAATTTTCATATAAGAAAAGGGTTTTGTACAAGTTAACTAAAACACATGAGAGTGTTATGACTTTTACTTTAAGAGAAATAAACTTTAATGGTCAAGAGTTGTAGTGTAGGGAATAATAAAATACAATGTATTTTTGTTTAATTTTTATATTTGGAGGGGATCTTGTGTAAGATAACTAAACCTTAGGGAGTACTGTAATTTATTCCCTATTCCCAAACTTGTTTTTGATTAAAGTAGTTGTAAATTTTATTTTTTTTAATGAGTCATTTAAAATAAAAAAATATTCATTTGATTAAAAATGTTATGTTTCACCGTATAATTTATTTTTTCTACAATAAATTCAATTATCTAATATCGAGAGTTGAACGTCTATTTTATTTTTTTATCATTTTCTCTTTATTTCTTTTTGTTAAGTGTATTTTTTTTTTAAAATTGTTATTCAATAATATTTTTCATAATAGTTGTTTGTTTCACCAAAATAACTAAAACCAAGTTAAAAATTTGAAAATTTTTGAAAAATAAAAAATTGAACAAAATTAATGCACTTTATTTTATTTTGGTATCCAAAGTCTTTCTTTTTTTATATATTAATCTCTCTATCTTTTATATTTTATATTTAAATTTTTGATTTGGTTATAACAATTTAACACCGTTAGTTATACACAAAAAAAAAAAAAAAAAGCTAATGTTCAAAGAATCTGAAAATACAAGAGAATTTTATACAATTTTCATATTTCCAGAAGTTCTGTACAACTTACAGAAAATATAGGGATTTTGTGTTTACTCCTACTAGAACGGAACATCATGTAAGGAAGAAAAGTAGAATGCAGAGTTAGTCAAATGGATCAAGGAAAGAAGTGACCAGAAATTTCTATAAGCAGGAATACGGGAAGGAAACCAACTGGGAGACGAGGTCTTAAATATGGTCTGTTAGAAATTTCTGCAACTATGAAAATTGAGATGGAGAGTCATAGTTAAATAAGCAAGAAATTCTATGTTAGTAAGAAAATATTTAAACTGAAAATTGCACAGAAATTTCAAAATATATTAAACACTTTCTTTTAAATTTAATTCACTACTACTAATATCGTATGCTGACTGTAAATAGATACAAGTGAAAATTCAATAAAAATATTCAATGACTATCATAAATTTCTAGTATAATATATTCCTAATTATTCGACAACCATTGTTGAGCCAATTATAACAATGGTGTTTTATAGTATAATATATTCCTAAATTTCTTTTTGCACAACAAAGAAAATTGAGAATAATTTGATTCAATAAAACTTGTCATAACTGAATGAAGATAATCCCTTTTATAAGTAATTTCACAACAGTCAAAAATTTCTAAATTTTTTAAAACCAATAAAACTACAGACAATTGTAGCAAGATAATTGAAATAAAAATACAAATAAAATAAAAATATTTCAATTATTTGTAATTTTCACCCACACACACACATGCCACATGTACAAATGTCAAGTGGGCCCAAGGAGTGGACGGCTCATGTGGGTGGTATGACATAATTTTATTTTATCATAATTTAATAAGATATGTACACTTTACATATATAAAACCTTTTAATATTTCATAAATAAATTAATATGATATTCTCCCTTTATACAACAATTATTTTGAAAATACTCACATTTCTATTCAACAAAAAACTTCTAAGGAATAGCAAACGGAGGGTACTAGTTGACTTTAAACCCCCAAATTAGTTCTATTCAACAAAAAACTTCTAAGGAATAGCAAACGGAGGGTACTAGTTGACTTTAAACCCCCAAATTAGTTCTCAGAAGGTCAAGGACAAAATCAACTAGTGAAAGATCCAGTCCACTAAGTGCTAGTATGATGTGATTTTGATCCAACAGGTGAAATAAGATAGTTGACTAGATGAAGGCAGCTATCGATTCCAAGCTATCAGCCAGTTGGTCAACTCAGATTAGATCGCTGACAGCCTAGTTAGCTGACTAAACCTATCAGGATTATCAACTAATCCGTATAAACTTCTGTCAAACTGTCGGCTGAACCACTTTCTATTCTATGGAGCTATGGAGATGGTGGCGGAATTGTGTCATGGTTCGTGCAAGTAATGCCACAACAGAAGTCAACCATGGTGATTGGCACGACAAGGGACGGGGTGTCAAATGGAGAATCAATCAGAAGGAGAATGGCATTTTCATTTCAAATTCACTGTAATGTTCTGAAATTTTTAAGGAATTAACCCATTGGTAAAACAGTTCAAACGTGACATACAAGAATCCAATCGCTCATGGTTGCTGAGTAGACCATAGTTCAATGGTATAATAAATAAAGGTCGGACAACACACCATTGAAACCCTAAATTTAAGTTGGGAGTTCAAATCTTGGAAATTTGAGAATTTAACCCCTAACCAAACCTTCTTATGAAAATAGAAAAATTCGTCCCAACACCCAACACCTCTTGTTGCTATGCCATGTTGTTTACAGTGGTGTACTCATCATCGCTCATGATAGTTGAAAAATACTGCGACTTATACAAGTAAAAATTCAGACACGACCTTGTATCCAAATAATCAAAAGGGCATCTTGTTAGATGATTTTCAGATACAATTACAATTAATTTGCAATTACATTGCTCTTATCCTTTGGCACCCCACACTACTGAGAAGAGAAATGTAATAATAGAACTCCACTGCAGGGAAACTACTGGTTTCAGCAGATGAGAGGAAGTAACATTAGTGTATCTTATGGAGATAAACAGAAGAAACAGCAGCCAAGCAACTTTCACCTTGCAAAACTAGTGAAGCGAAGAAATAGTGCATTTGAATGTATCACCCACCAAATATGTCTATCCTCGGTATGGTTCGGTTCTTGTATAAAAAATAACAAGTGCAATGAAGAAAGCAATCACAAATTGGCAATAGATGTGAAATCCAATTACCAATCTATATCAGTAATCATTTCACTACAGGCATTACATAGTATCTAAGCCTTGGAAGTAAAATTTATTTACCATTTTTGCATAGCTTCGAAGAAATTGGCTATTTTACATACAAATATTTTGGCATTTTCAGTCTGTGATCAAATACAAGCCCCCTTCTGTAGCACCGCCACTATAGAGGATGTGGCCAGCAGTTTTCTAGTTTTTAATCCATAAACTTTCTTTTGGTCCATATACCATGTAATATCAAAATACCCATTTATAAAATTATCCTCTTTTTTATATCCCTATATGATGAATATTGGATGATGGCATGTTGATCCATGCTAATTTTTCTTCTCCTTTTTTTTTTTTTTTTTCAATATCTAGATCCTCAGTGACTAGCTGGTTGTAATTAGTAACTACAGCTTAAACAATGATATGACACAAAGTGAGTTTCAAATTACTACAACATTTGAAACTCACACAATGTCAGATCTCTCGTAGAGATTTTGAGCACTCATCTCTTCCAATGCTTTTCGCAAGGCAAAGTCACACCTGCAAGATACCAAGCAAACTATGAAAGAAGAATCATGATATTGGTTTTTATCCACATACAACTATAATAATAACAGGAAACAAAAATTGGGATCAGATACCTCCAAGGTAGATGATCCAGGAACATGGATGGTGACACAATTATGTCCTTGAAAGAATTTCTGTCCACTGTATAAACTTTGTACTTCTGTGGAATTCTCCAATTTTTCCATAGAGTCCCTTCCATGCCGTTGTTATTTGGTACTACATGAATAATAGTGCCTGGTAAAAACATCTCAGGAAGATTACCTGCTGGTTGATCCTGAGATGGTGACACAGTATCCATAAATTCAGATACAGGATCTCTAGATAAACTCAAACTGGTAGAGGAATCATGAAAAGGATTGATGAAATCATCTAGTAAATCATTCTGATTAATTTCGTTGCCTGAACCATTTTCCATGTCTCCGTCTTCCAGAGGGAGAACTCTGCTTCCTGCCCTACTCTACCTGCAGTGAAAATGAGAGTTGCATTAATAGAAATATTTTCCACCTCACTGAATCCTAGCATAGGTTATAACTCCAATTAAATCACATGAAGAACAAAAGTTGTAAATGCAACACCAATAAAATCGTTTTACAGCTATTGGTTGGGCTTGAACTTAAAATCACTAGTTCCATGTGATCCAAGTTCTGATATTATGCAGTTTTCTTATATAGATGTCTTCAACTAACAACGTTGGGAGCAGAAAAAATGGAACTTGTAGATGTGGAAAAAATAACTAAACAATGTCATTTCCGGGATAAGTCCAAAATCAGTGATGTGGTCCCATGAGCGTTCCTGCAATATTCTTACTTTGAAATTGATTGATTTGGAAATAATTAGCATTGTTTTAATGTATGATTTTAAAAAATTATAATTATGGAATCCATATTTCACTGCATGCAAATCAATTTTTTCATATTTTTTATTTCTTTTTTATTTGCCCAATCAGCAGAATTTGAAATTTTTTCCCCACATAATGTTAACATTCCCTTTAAAGTCCGTTTACAGAAACATATTGAATGAAAATTCCTTAGTTTAAGGATTTGCTTTGCAGTTTTTTTGTTGGTGGACTAAATGGAACAAAGTCCCCAAGTTCAAGACCCACCTAGGGTTTTAATCCCTAAAAATTTCATGCACAAAAGAAAGAAAAAACAAGGCCAGCTCATTACTCCTCCTGTACTCGCTGTTGTGATCTTGAAGATTCCCGTCTTCAGCTACCATAGCATGAGAATTTGAATTCAAATTCTGGATTTTTGTCTCATCCTTACTTTTTTCACATTTGCTAAGAAACAGAAATCTGCTTGCAAGTTTGGAGGTTATGGTTGACTCAGCCGTATCTTGTGACACTGCCGTAAGTGCTGCTCCACGAAGCCTCAAGATAGAAGCAATTGATAGTCGTGCTGAAAATTCGTTGTTGTATATAATGCTGCAGAAAATTCAAAGCATTGAGTTACCAGTCCTGATAATAACAAAACATCTACAAACACACATGTATACAATAAATAGATGAAGAACTGTTATGAATGGTATGGATTATAAAATAAAGAAGTCAATGGCACCAAAAATGGGAAGGAAGACTAATAATTACTTAATTCCTAATTAAGTAAGTCAATGGCGCCAAAAATGGGAAGGAAGACAAGTAATAATTTTATTTCTAATTAAAAGAGTTTATTTTAGTAAGTATTTTTATTGCAATTAAAGTCTTTAATTTTAGTTTTCTTCTTTTTGTAAAAATAATTTCCTTTATAATCTCTATTTAAGAGAACAATTTGAAGGGAAGAAGAGGTTTAAGACTCTCTCTAACGAGTCTAAGGTTAAGAGCTTCCTTCAATGAGTTTCATACATACATACATATATATAAATCATAGGTTCTTCACGAGGCAAGAATCGTAACAAGGGAAAGACTGCATCCATCGAAGCGGATTTTCCTGTGCATTGCCCCGTGACTCGATCTGTGACACGGGAACGTAACAATTTGGTATTAGAACCGAACACTATGGGCGATTTCAACACAATAAAAGAATTTAGGGATCTTTTACAAGAAGCACAAGCACTTAACGAAGCAAGGGTGGCAGAAGCTGAGGCAAGAATGGAAGCAAGAGTCGCACAAATCGAGTCTATATTGGGAACTCAGCTGCAGCAACTATCATTGCAAATGCATGAACTTGTTAATGGTCTTCACCAAAATAGCGGCAAGGAGTCAGATGGGAGTACAGGTAATAATAACAATTTTGGAAATCACTATTACAAAACTGACAATAAATTAGAATTGTAGGGAGAGTCTGGAGTGGTTTCACAGTACACAAAGACTAATTTTCAATTGTGAGCAACATCTGGAGTAGTGCCAAGGTACACAAAACTTGATTTTCCAACCTATGATGGGTTAGAGGATCCACCAATATGGTTACACCAATGCGAGAAATTCTTTTTCCACTAGCGAACTGCTAAAATAGACAAGGTTAGTTTGACTGCTTTTCACATGTTAGGTGAGGCGCAATTATGGTGTTATCAGATGGAGCAAAAAGAACCGAATCTCACTTGAAAGGCATTCAAAGAATATTGCACTTTGAGATTTGGCCCACCACTACGTGGAAATCCATTAGGTGAATTGGTTAATTTGTACTAGACTGGAATAGTTGAGGATTATCAGTGCCAATTTCAAGGGTTGTGGCACGTGCTAATACAGTGCGAATGGATCAGCAGGTAGACTTGTTTACTATTGGCTCAATGGACTCAATTAGGCTTGATGTGGAAATGCAAAAACTTGCAAACCTTGTTCAAGCAATGAATTTGGCATGAGCCTTTGAGAAGAAACAGCAACTAGAAAGAGCGGCAAACATGCGAGAAAGGCCTTGGCAAAAAATAGGCTCGAACACTAAAAGCACCAATAAGGTAGCCACAATTTCCTCTCCTACTCTTAAAAGTAGCTTCGAGCAAGGCAGGGTGATAGCGGCAGGTTCGAGTTTAAGTAATACAGACTCTGTTTATTAAGAAGTTGACTAGTGCGGAGATGGTAGAAGACAAAAAGCTAAGGGACTCTGCTACAATTGTGATAAACCATATTCATCCAGGCACCAATGTAAAAAATTATTTTGGCTAGAGGTAGAGGATCATGATGACATTGTGCAGGACCAAGACAAGTGTGAGAAACCTGACATATCCAACTTTCAAGCTTGAGGAAAAGCTCTTTCTCCAAGAGGGGAGTAATGTTATGAATGGTATGGATCACAAAATAAGGAAGTCAATGGTACCAAAAATGGGAAGGAAGACTAACAATTATTTAATTCCTAATTAAGTAAGTCAATTACGCTAAAAATGGGAAGGAAGACAAATAATAATTTTGTCCCTAATTAGAAGAGTTTATTTTAGTAAATATTTTTATTGCAATTTAAGTCTTTAATTTTAGTTTTCTTCTTTTTGTAAAAATAATTTCCTTTGTAATCTTTATTTAAGAGAACAATTGGAAGAGAATAAAGCAAACAGAATTTTCATTCAAATTTATAGAGGTTTAAGGCTCTCTCTAACGAGTCTAAGGTTAGGAGCTCCCTTCAACGAGTTCCATATATATATATATATATATATATATAAAATCATAGGTTCTTCACGAGACAAGAATTATAACAAGGGAAATACTGCATCCATCGAAACAGATTTTCCTGTGCATCGCCCTGTGACTCGATCCATGACATGGGAACGTAACAAGAACTCATGGCAATAAAAAGAGAAAATAATGCAAGAGCAAAATGGATATAGACATTAAAATTGCTGCTTCTACATCATTTACCTTGTAACAAATTCTGAACATGCATCTGCTATGACAGGATCCAAGCATGGAAGTGGGCCATATGCATAGACGTGCAAGTTTGGGTATCGGCAAAGTAACTGCCCAAGAGAACCCAAAAAATAATTAGATAAAGAAGATACATTTTGGAACTACTGTAAGTGCTGCAGAAAAGAGTTTTTATTTTTTTTTAAATAATTTTTTCCCTCAGCTGAATCCCAAATTCCAGCTATGAGCCAATACTGTCTGTGTTGCATAGTAAGTTTTACATGTTTTTCCTTAATCACATAGCAAATATGAAGTGCCTTAACCAGACTATATCAAGTACAAGGATGCACACTTTTATATGTGAGCTGCTGTGGATAAAAATACTGCTTGATGAATTGAAGATAAATGTGGAACAGTGCACTAAAGCTCTATTCTAATAATAAGGCAGCAATCAGCAAGTCTCATAATCCTTTACAACATGACAGAATCAAGAACACTGAAATTGATTTACACTTTATTAAGGAAAAATTGGATTAAGGAGTCTTGTGCATTTCATTTGTTTCCTACAAGTCATCAAGTAGCTGATAGCTTCACCAAGGTTCTATCAACTCAAACAATTCAATGCATTAATAGGCAAGGTAGGATTACTTGTATTTATGATCTAGCTTGAGTGGGAGTATTTAGAGAATTGATTCTTCCATACTTTGTGATTGATATAAATCAACGTTCGATGTAAATCATTGATTGATGTCAACTAGGGACTAGGAATTTTTTTTTTCTGTTTAGATCTTGAATTAGCCTATAAATTCATTGTAAAGGAAATTGTAATTCATTAAGAACAATCAATAAAATAATTCTTTTCTTTTTCTACAGAAAGAAGCACGATGAGAGGAGAGAGCTCCACTGGAATTGAACTATAGTGAGAAGGAGAAATTAGGGTTTTCTCTACCCAACTTTGATACCATGAAAATCAGGGGAAGATAGAAAAAACTAAAAATAGGAGAAAATATTTTTGCCTTACTTGTAGATGCTAAGCACCTCTATACAATGGTACACAATAATATTACAATACTTAGATTCATATCTATTCACAATATATCCTACCTATTTACAACATTTATCCTATTATACAATATTCTAACTGGCCCGATACCACTTTAATATACATGAGAATGCAGATCATAGCATCTTAATGACTATTACATGGAGATTGTAGGAGTTGGCTTACTATACTCCTAGAATGAAATATATGGTTGGGTGATAATCAGGTAATTAAGCTTCCTTACTAGTCTTTGATATCTTCCAAGATCTGTAAGAAACTTCATTTGTCCTTAAAGGAGTTTGACATTCGAATCCATAGTGAATCAATAGGTTTATAGTCTAATGTACCTATTTTTTTAAGTATATCCAAAGCATATTTGGGTTGGCTAATAACAATGCCAAAATTGGATTAAACACCTCATCTACTCAATGCTCCCAAACTTAATTCTTGAAGTGATTGTTTAAACCCATATGAGTTCACAAGTAGCTACAACCATTGATCAATACTCAACTCTTGCACTTGATCGTGTGACAACATTCTGTTTCTTACTCTTTCAATACACAAGATTACCACCAACAAATACACAAACCCTAAAGTGGATTGTCTATCAACAGAAGAACTAGCCCAATCTACATCAAAATATCCTTCAAACTTGAGTTTTCCTTTATCTTCATACAACCCCTGTCTAGGAGATTCTTAACATATCTCAATATTTGAACAACTGCATCCAATGATTAGTTTGTGAGGATTGCATGAATAGACTTACCACACTCATTGAAAAAGAAATATCAGGCCTAGTAATAATGAAGTAATTTAGTTTACCAATCAATATTCAGTACCTGCCAGGATTTGAATAAGGCTCCCCTTGGTCTGCAAAGAGTCTGACGTATGGATCCATAGAACTATCAATAGGTTTGCAATCCATCATATCATTTTTTTCTAGTATATCCAGAGCATCTTTTTTTGTGAAATAGCAATACCATTTCTAGACTCACCTACTTAAATACGAAGAAAATATTTGAGTTTCCCAAATTCTTTAATTTGAAAGTGATGAAATTTTCAACTAAGATATTTTATCATAATCATCACCAGTAATCACTATATCATTCACATATACAAGTAGATAAATACACCAACCAGATGAAGAATGTTGATAAAAGACTAAGTGATGTGATTTACTCTATATCATGCCAAAGGCTTGAACAAGAACAACAATACTAAACTTTCCAAACCAAGCTCAAGGAAACTGTTTTAACCCCTATAGAGATCATCGTAGTTTGCAAAATCCTGACTCCTCTAAGCAACAAATTCAAGTGGTTGCTCCATGTAAATTTCTTCTTCAAGATTACCATGAAGAAAATCATTTTTAATATCTAACTAATATAAGGGCCAACGACCAATAGTTGCTATAGTGAGCAATAGCCGAATAGAGGTCATTTTAAGATAGGGCAGAATGTATCATTATGATCAAGAACATAAGTCCGAGTGTAACTTTTAGCAACAAGACATGCTTTAAGACAATCAATTTTTCCATCTGGATTGACTTTAAGAGTATATACCCATCAGCAGCTAACAATAGTTTTTTTGAGAGGAAGAGGAACTAAGTCCCACATGCCATTGTGCTCAAGGGCAAGCATTTCATCAATTATAGCTCGTCTCCATCCTAGATGAGAAAGTGCTTCATTAGAAGTTTAAAGAATGGACACCGAAGATAGGGATGATATAAAAGCATAATATGTTGGAGATAAATTATGAAAGCTCAAAAAACTTGTAAATATGATAAGGATTCTTAGTAAACCGAATACCTTTTCAAAGAGCAATGGTAAAATCACCAAGAGACTTAGACAATCCGTAGTAGGTGACGGCGTTGGATGGAGTAGGACTTGACTCACTAGGATGATTTTCTATCTTAGGTGTGGGAATAGCAGCCCGTGGTTTACATTAATATGTGATGAGAGGTTGTTGTAGAAGATTTGGACGAATGACCTCAGGTGAGGTTCTTAGAGATTCTGGAATTTCTGGAGAAGATACTTGCAGGGAGATAGAGGCGGACCAAAATAGAGGATAGGTAAAACCTCAGATATAACATTAGACTCAATGAAAGAGATGAAGTATGGGTCTCTTCAAAGGAAATAGCATCACTAGATATATACCGACGATAAGTGATAGGGGAATAATGATACCCTTTTTGTAACCTAGAATAACCAAGAAAAACACATGTAACAACAAGTGCAAATAACTTATCCAAGCCAAGAGAAAAATCATGGACAAAACAAGTGCATCCAAACACACGAGGAGGAACATGATGCAATGGACTATTTGGATGTGAAATTAAATGAGTAACTTGGTTATAAAGACAAATGATAGCATGCTGTTAATCAAATAGCAAGCAGTTAAAATAGCATTATCCCAAACTATAGAGGCATATTTGCATGAAACAACAAGGTTCGAGCAATTTCAATGAGATGACGATTTTTTCTTTTTGCTATATGGTGAATGAGGACATGTTGATTGATGTAAGATACCATGGGATAACATAAATGTAGAGAAATTAGTTGAAAAGTATTTTCTTACATTGTCACTACATAGTATCTTAATCATCTATCCAAATTGACTTATAATTTCCACACAAAAGAATTGAAATATAGAAAACAACTCAAAACGATCTCTCATCAATAATAACTAAGTGCAACGTGAGAAATCATCAATGAAAGTAACAAAATGCTTGAAACCTAAAGAATTAAGAACTCTGTTAGGACCCCAAATATTATAATGAATAATGGAAAAATGAGACTCAATCTAACTTTGAACTTGACCTGGGAAGGAAAAACGGACATGCTCGCCAAGTTGGAACAATTTTCTTAAGTTCAAACAAACTAGGATGACCTAGGCATTTATGAAGAAGACTCGGAGATTCAATGATAGTGCAAACCACACGTAAAGTTGACTCAAGATAGTAAAGTTCTTGTGATTCATGTCCTACGTCAATTGTCTGTCCCACATTACAGTCCCTATATAATAAAGGAAGTAGAATCAAAAGTTACTGAGCAATTAAAAGAACAAGTTGGCTCAAAGAAATTAAATTAAAAGGGCATCCTGGTATAGTAACACAGATTTTAACAACACAAATATAGTAGATGAAACACGACCAATATCTTTGACAGCGACTTTTGAACCATCTACCAAAGTGACAAATTTGGGAAAATTAGGCGTAGAAAAAGAAGTGAAAACGGAACAGCTACCAACTATATGATCGGAAGCACAAGAATCAAATATCCAAGGATTTGGACTAGCATGAGAAATACAAATAGTAGATTTACCCATATGACCATCAGTGGCAGTAAAAGACAGAATTTGTTTGGCTGCTTTCAATTGAAGATATTCGTGATATTCGACTTCTAAATTTTTAAAACATTTATTCTAAGAGAAATTATCAGAATTATTAGGAAATCTATGAAGAGAGTGACACATATGTTGAGTATGGCCTATTCTTTTGTAATAAGTACATTGAGAACGACTTCCACGTCTACCATAATGTCCCAAGTTAGATGTTATTCTATGCTTGGTAATGTAATTAGATGAAAGTGTCTAACTGGACTGAACTAGACTTGAACCGGCCAAACCATTAAATTGGATTGAACCAAAATAAACTGACTGATATGAGTTGAACTGGATCGAACTGGTTTGAACCAGGTGTTGATGAACCAGACCGATTTAGGTTTGAGAGCTGAATTGGTTTGCAGCAACTTAGAAATTAAAAGCCTTTAGTGGTTGTTGTTGACCAGAAAGAGATGCAACAAATTGATGGGAGAGACGAAGTACTAGTTGAACTAACCAAGTGAGGCTTTCGGCACCCATAAAAGAAGTAGGCAAGAATCGTAGTTGACCAAAGATTGTGGCGACCAAAACTAATCTGATGGGCCTTCTAACGACCAAAGGAGATGACTTCCAAGGTTGCGATTGAGGGCAAGAAAGACTTGGGACAAAATTCAATGAGATCCGATTAAGGGCCAGAAAGACTTAGGGACGACCTTCAACATGATGCAATTAAGGGCTAGAGAGACGTTGAGG